GGTTGAATCTCCACCTGGGTTTTTATCTCTGGCTTGGAAGGATGTTCCTCTCTTGACTGTGTCTTCCTGGCGTTAATGGGTTCTTGACTGCTGGAAATGGAAATGGAAATGGGTTTCCACCTGGTCCTTTTAACTCTGGTGTGGAACAACTAATTAATTGTCCATATGCCATGGATGATCATCATGCTATGCTGTGCTGTGCTAGCCACTTCAATTGCTCAAGTTGTGCGATGCTGATTTGATCACGTGTCAGTTTAATTGGCGCTGCAATACTAGATTTTTAGGAGAATTAATATTACCACCACTTTTAGCAGTTCCACCCCCCCCCCCCCCTCTCCTACTACTCCCTTTATTTTTGTGTTCAACTTCAATTGATTTTTCTTTTCTTTTTAGCGTTTTGATGTGGCAATGTTATTATTATTATTAGGTTGAAGACTTGACTAGGCAAAAGGTGATCAAGGGAATAGAATGGAATTAGGAAGAAATGGGGGATGGGATGCAAGAAGCTTTCCTTCCCTTTGCTTCTAGCCATTGTGACTCTGTAAATTTGATTTTGTTGTATGGATTTAAATTCGTCTGAATATTAAAGGATTTTTATCTTTTACTACTTTCTGGCACGGACAAGAAGAGTTAAAATTTTCATGGGTCTCTTTCTGCACTCTTGGTTATATTGTATAATCTCGTCTGTTCTGTGCAATGGAATCCTCTTTTGCCCCAAGTAATTTACATTTTAAGCAAAAGAAGAAAGTCACCGTCTTCTATGTTGAAGTTGATGAAAGATCCTTTTTAACTATTTGCATGGACATTGGTGGGTGATGAGTGATGACAAACTCTTTACTCTGCCCCCTCCTATTATTCATGCACAGTCAACTGTGAAAAAATTATTACTTCACTGTCTAACTCACTGTTATGTGGGGAGAAGCCATTATTTTAGTTCACACCGTCTGATCTGAATAAAGTTTGTTTCTTTTTGTGTTTTGTGAAAGTTTTGTTTAGCAGCTAGCAGAGTATTTGCATAGGTTTGTTGCTAGTAGTGCTGATCTTTCACAAATCTATGGGCCATATGAGTAGCTTTGTTGTGTGTCTCTTTCATGATGCAATCAAGTTCCTTGTCTTGCTGGCACAGCAGAGATGGGGAAGATGAATCAGCCTCTTTTCTGAGTCTTCATAAAAACAATTGGCCAGAGCGTGACAAGGGAGACTGGCACTGCTGTTTCTGGACTTCAGTGATTGCGACAATTCAAGGTTGTGACTTGTGAATAAGACGTTCTCTTATTGATCTTGATGATTTGGCAAAGGGTCCCATAAATGTAGACTACACTTTGTGAGGCTGGGTATGCGTCCTATTCCCCACTTTATATGGTGCTTCATAACTCATCCAGTACCTTCCCTCATCTAGAACGCCATACCCCACTTGGCAAAAAATGAAACCCAAGTGCTTCCATAACAGAAAACTGTCATCCCACATGCTTCACTGCTTTGGTCATTTTAATTTTTTATATTTTCCCTGAAACAATTGCCAGTTCGAGTAGCTTCTCTGCCAAAATTTTGTTAATGAACTGAAACCTTACATTGAGATTAACTCTTGTTCTAAGTAATTTTGGGAAGAAAACGAGTGATTTCAGTGAGTTTCAGTCTTGGGTTGCTATGGCCACGTTCTTCCTGGTTCCCAGGTCACGGAAATATGCAGGAAAATAATTGGTTGTTCAGGAAAATGTAGAAGAAAAATAGCTCTTCTAAAAAAAAAGCATTTTTAAGTATACAATTACAGTTATTTAAGATGATATATAAAGTGAATTTAAATTACTTCATTTCAAAGGCTTTCTCAATAGTTTTATACATTATGAGGCGCTTCTACTTGGAAAAGATTAATCTGTTCTGAGCTGTAATGAATGACTGTTTTTTCAAGTTGTTGGAAGGCTTCAACTACCAAGACCCAAAACCTAAAAGTTGGCGTTTAGTTTGGGATTTCTACTTCTAGTCCTCAAGCTCTGCGTAATATTTTAATTGACGTAGTCATTTTAATAATTTGGTGTAAGATGTATGATAAAAAGCCAATCACGTGCATTTATCACATAACATTTGGTATTAAGATGTATCTTGAAGTTTGACAGCTGTTGCAATTGGCTTTATCTAATTAACATAGTTTGCAACTGCTGCGTATGATGGATAAAGTGCAAGAATAAATGGAGTTGGATATAATTATATGAATTTAAAATATCAATTGTGAAACAGTGGTAAAGTTAATTACTTGTTGTAGATATTGTGAATTATATCGTAAACGATTTACGTGATGTGCAAATTCTTTCGTGAGTGAAAAACTAAGATCTTCCTTTGTCTAATCACGCCTTCTAATCTTAAGTTCTCAATGGGACAAACCTAGAAAGTAATAGAATGTGTTTCCGTGATGGCAAAGAGGATTTAGCCACCATATTTATTAACCCTAGGTACTTCCCATTATGCACCTAGAGGTTAGGCCCACACTATATTCCGCATAGATTAGTATTAAGTGTCCAAAGCCCATGAGGAATTGATCATATTATTAATAGGCTTAAGCATTGTCAAATGGATCACAATATTAGTCCGTTTTTAACAAAATAAAAAATTACAATTGATTGTAGCCCATAATGAATTTTATAGAAAATTCTAATATTCTTCCACTTGGGCAAAATCAATTGTGTAGTTCATAACTTTTGAAAACTTTAAAAAAAAAAAAACTTTTAGGCTAATAACATGTTGTGATCACAAACATATGATCCAAAGATACAACACTTAACTAAGACTCTATCCAATAAAATCATACAAATATCGAATCATGGCGATAATTACATCTCCTACTAACGTAACACCTTCCATGGTTACAAATACTGCCAACCTTATCGACTAGTCATCAATGTGGAGTGTAGTGAGAAAATGACATGTCAATATGATCAAACAGTCATACTATCATTTTCTACATTAGTCCTTAATTTCTCTCAAGTGCTTAAAAGCTAAAGAAATTACATAATTCATTACAAACCTTTATGCCTTAGCTCTAACTGACATCAACCATCAGCATAGTGGTCTCAATGACACCGAGCTCAATATTTGGTCATAATACCTCAGCTCCAAATGGCATCAACCACAGGTATAGTGGTCTTAATGATACTAAGCTTAAAATTTGATCATGCCTAAACTTAATACAATGTCAATCACAAACATAATGACTCTAACAACACTGAGTTTTATATTTGGCAATCAATATAACAAATATGCTTATATATACAAAGATGTATAAAAAGATGTATTATCAATTGTTCAAAATAAAATAAAATACATGTCAACCAAACACAAAAGGTGTTCAAAATAAAAGGTCCAACATGATAAGAAAATGACATATGAGATAAACTCTCACTAACTAAGTATATTAAAAAAAATTCATAATTTTATGTTCTCAACATATACCTATTCAAATATAATATGCCTTAACTCCTTAATTTAAGAATCATTTAGCTTATATTATATATCAATATACTTAATAACTATGTCATTTTTCTTCATAAGATTTAACTGTCAAATTACTTTTATTTTAAATGCTTAGAACCATTAGTAATTTTATTTTATTTTTATGTAGAACACAACATTGTTATAATAATAAGTCTTCAATGGTCTAGCAATGAAAATCACAAAATAAAATCTTGTCATTAAGTTTCTTAACCAAACAATATAAGGGTCAACAACATAAACAAACAAAAAAATTTTGCTTATACAATAAAAGTCAATTTCTTACTCTTCCTGTATGTGGATCCCCCAATCATCATAAAGATGTATCCCAAAGTCAATTATTACTACAACACTCAAAAAGATTTATATATATATATATATATATATATATATATATATATATATATATATATATACCATAATCTCTAAATTGTCAACTCTCCCATACATAAGCTCACACTCTTCAATCCCTTGCAAGTACTTTATTACTCTCTTAACAACTATTCAATGATGAATCTAAAGAATGTATTTACATATAGCCAAAAAGTAAACTATTAAAGTAATGTTATGTCTAATTATTTACTCGCACACACTCAAAAGATGTCTAGAATTAGTTCTCTTGATAACAATCAAACTTCTCTCACTAAGCTAAAAGTTTCTTTTATTAATGTGTATTTTACTAGTTGATTATGAGCTTATTCCTCACGCAAAACTAAATCAAGAACAACAATTCCAAAAAAGGAATTTCAGGTATTGCTTTCATTTGCTATGATACAATTAGGGGACAAAATAATTGTTCACAAGAAAAAAACAAGAATGCATAAGAACAAATTATAAGACAAGGTATAACTCAAGATGGTAATAAGCTATCAATGTGAGGCCAGTAAAATAGTACATTCCCCTTTGGGCAGAATGCACAAACCAAAGTCATTTACCCTGGTCAATACCTTAGATTGGTTAATCCATAAGCACACACCGAACTCAGAAAATTATCCCCTTTGGGCAGACAAATCTCTTAACTCAATGCATTATCCAATAACTCCATCCATTTTCAACTCTCAACCCAAACATACAACCACCCCCTTTGGGAAGACAATTGCATGCAAGGATCAAAAGCATTCCTAAACTTATAAAATTCTCCATAAACCAATATAAATTGTCCCACTTTGGTGGTAACAGCTTGTAGCAATCTATGAAAACTCTTATACAAGAATCAATTATCTCTTGTCTAAAATTATGACTTAGTCAACAAGAAGATACGCATCTAACAACATTCTTATTAGTCATTCATTAATTATCAATTGCATTCTTAATATGTTTATACTCAAATAGTTATAATTATACATTAAAAATATTATTAAATCATAACTAAATATTAACAATAATTTTGTTGCACAAAATCAAATAAGAAAATTGAGCACAAGAGCTCTTAGGAACACAATATCTAAGTTGTAGTAGCATAAACTAAAACTTATAACAATAATAATGATGAATTAATTTTACATCAAATTACGTAATAATGGTAATGCATAACTTTAATATATATATATATATATAAGTCCTTATAATGAGGTCAATTACACATTCTCCTTTGGGCAGAATGTGTAAACCATGATCACTAAGGTCAGAACCTCAGATGAGTTACTCAATAAGCATACAATGAGTTTAAGAACCTATCTCCTTTGGGCACATAGATTCTTTATACCAATGTACCTTCAATAACTTTATCCATAAATTTCAAAATGAGTTACTCAATGAGCATATACTAGGTTCAAATTTTATCTTCTTTGGGCAAATATATCACTTCCAACAGCTATATCAACAAATCAACTCTTTTGACCACAAAATTTGAATTTCAAAATTTGAAAGATTGCAATAGTAACTCAAAATTTGAAAAAATTGCAATAGAACATGTAATTCAAAATTTGAATTGGCAATAGTAAAAAACAAAGACGCATATTAATTCAAATTATTACAATTGCATTTATAATGCAATGGAAGCAATAAAATTTAAGAATTAAATATTATTCTAAATTAACGCACAACATAATAGTAGCAACAGAAACACATCATCATAACACAATAAAAATATGAAACGCCACAAGAGAAGCATAAACTCACACACTTACTAAAGTATGTACTAAAATGGCAGTGACAAGAATATTGCAATTTATAATTCAAAATTCGAAAACATGATAGTGAAATAATATATAATCATGCAGTGACATCACATATTTCCCTCAATTATATGTAACGATAAATTATTAATATATAACAATGATAATTAATGCAAACTTAAATATTATTCCGTACAAAACAAAATAATATATAATTGACCACAAAGCATATAACATAAATTAATAATGTTAAGGTTGGTCGAACAAGATCAAAGTATCATGTTTGATTTTTTTAAAAACTTTAATTTTAATTTATTTTGATTATTAACCCTTGTGGTAGCAAAATGTCCACATACGGCAATAGACTCAACATAGCATTGCATCACATAATTCAAAACAAGCGCTCAGCAGTAGCAGTTGCAGTTGCTAACAATATTGCATAAATATTGGATTACACAAATCAATTAAAACAAAATGCGTAGTAATTTGTCATAGGCAACGACAAAATAATTCAATTATTAAAAAATTAAAATTGAAGCGCTAGTAACAATAGAAAGCTGATTTGCGAAACGTAATTAAATAAAATGAAATTAGCTATAGGAGATGCACACATAACGTGATTCATTCAAAATTAAAATGGTCATATGACATCCACATTGAATTAGGTAATTTTAAAATTAAATTATGTCAAACAAATACTCATTGAATTACGTAACTCTACAGTTAATGTATGTTAGACATACAAACAAAAATAACAAGAAATTATTAATGCATATTCAAATAATATTAGAGGCAAAGATCAATAGATTTAGAAATGCAACAAGATAACAGCCAAAAAATTAAATATTATAATATATATATTATATATATATTAACACAATCGATATGTGATTCAAAATTGACCCTAAATGAATACAAATAGCGATTACAAAATTTGATAAGTTATAAAATTGACAAATCAACCATGAATGGCAGCAACATAATGTAATATAACACATCAAAATTTGCAACACAAGAACGTATCACACTGTGACAGTATGACAGTAGAATACTGAATTCAAAATTTGAAAATAGAAATGCATAAATTTCATACAAACATGACAATCGACCCAATGAAAGAATATCATATAATTCAAAGTTTGGAAAGCAACCTAATACATGTAATTTAAGATGACAACAAAAATAGTACGTATAATCCAAAATTGCAATAATAATAAAAAAAAGGCGATCAAAATATTTTGAATTCAAAATTTGAAAAATTAACATGATGACAACAGAAAAATTTGCAACAAACACGATAACAGTAACACAAATATCGGATTAAAAATATGGCATCAGTTGCAATAACAATAACACAAATATCATATTGAAAACATCGCAAAACATCATACGGTAGCATTGCATCAAATTGAAATTGAAAATAACAAAGGTAATAGGAATAACACATAAATATTAGATATCTAATTAATATCACAGCAACGCATTAAATTGGAATCAGAAATTGCAAGCAAGCGTAATGGAAAACAATGCTCGCAGTAAAATTGAAATAAGCATATAAAATATTCATATTTAACTGAAAAGTGTTGAAATATTAGGTATTACAACATAGCAATTGAAATATTTATTCAATTCAAGGTATTAAATTATTGAATATTACGACACAATAACAATGGCAGCGAAAAATTCTTTGATGTGAATGTAAATTCGTTCATTTAGTAAATAATTTAGAAACAATAACAGTGATTAAAAAATGAAAATCATCAAACGCATGAATTCAAGAATTTAAAAGAAACGACATTGAAAAAAAAATCTTCAACATAAATTGAATTGATTCAACAAATAACAGAGGCAGCGACGATTAAATTTGGAAATAAAATGACAATCTGATATATATCAACGATACAAATAGCCCACATAATTTAATCTAAATTCAGATTAATTAAAAATTAATAGTTAGATCCTAAATCATATAATGATAGGCTATGATACTAGATGTAAGAATAAATGAAGTTGGATCTAATTATATGAATTTAGAATATCAATTGTGAAGCGGTGGTAAAGTCTTTTACTTGTTGTAGACATTGTGAATTATATCGTAGACGATCTACGTGACGTGCAAATTCTTTCGTGAGTGAAAAGCCAAGATCTTCTTTTGCCTAATCACGCTCTTCTAATCCTAGGTTCTCAATGGGGCAAACCTAGAGAGTAATGGAATATATTTCCGTGACGGTAAAGGGGACTTAGCCACCATATTTATTAACCCCAGGTACTTCCTATTATGCATTTAGAGGTTAGGCCTACACCATATCCTACATAGACCAGTATTAAGTGTCCAAAGCCCATGAGGAATTGATCATATTATTAATAGGCTAAAGCATCATCAAATAGATCATAATATTAGTCCATTTTTAACAAAATAAAAAATTACAATTGATTGTAACCCATAATAAATTTTATAGAAAATTCTAACATAAATTTCATACTAGTTTGCTTCAACAAAGTCACTATTTTCATTGCTTCTTTCGTTAACCTTTAATGATTACATATATGCCATGCCACCAAACCCGGATACGCAAAAAATCATTCACGGATGTGTTGTATCTGTATCTGATATAGGTACACGTATATTTTGCTCTATATATAATCAATATGATATACATAAATACAAGTATATTTTACTTATTATATATTGCCATATGCGTATTCTAATATTTTAAAAAATTATCATGTTTATGTATCATATATTTAATACTTGTACAACATAGGTAGACTGCACACGTGCAAAACTATGGCTCTTCTTTGAAATGCTAATGGTGTTTAGAACGAAGTAAATCTCTAATACCTTTCAGGGTTGGCACTGAGCAGCGCAGTAAAATTTCTATTTCAGCGACTTGGTGATACAATGAGGATAGGATTCTGGAGGGAGCTGGTGGGCAACTTGATTAGATCATATGTTCTCTTGGTGTTAAATGCCATGACAGCTTCTGGACCCATAAAATTGTGGCTCATTGACTTCTTCATTGGAGGGAATATCAAAATAATTTACGTCAGAGACCCAAACCCATTTGAGTAGTATTGGATCATGTTATTTGATTGGTTGAGCTGTCTTGCGGTTGCACTCTGTTGGGCAGTATGATTAATTCTCTAACTAATATCTTGGCTTTGCACTGCCTCACGCATGTGTGTTCAATTAATTTCATTCAATTCTCCCCTTGTTATATAATCCAGATTCTGAGACTTTATAACCATTATGATTATCTTGATTTTCATAGTTAAAACTGATTAACTAATAAGTAATCATGTCTGAAATTTGTGACTACTGGCCAGACTGCAGAATGCATTTACCTTTTACCCTTCAATTATGCTCTGACCAACTCCTGTGTCCTCTGAGAAAGTAAATTTTCATGATCCGTATACTACAGAATGTTCAAATGACGTCAATGAAGTCAAGGATGGAAAATTTCTGAGTCAGATTTTTCCATCATCCCATTATGTACAGCTAACTCTAACCACCTAATTTGCTTTCTCACCTCACCTTCTTGCTAAACAGGCCTATGCCACTTTCACTCCCAACTTTGAGATTTAGATGAAATAAGTAATTCAAGTAGTTAGGAATTTTTTACAATTCTGGATTAGTGGATTAGTTCCTGATAATATTAATTACTCCATTCCACTTATTTTGATCACTCTAGTACTATATACTAACTTTCAATAAAGTTCACCTCACCTGGGTCCTCATTCTTAGGCAATTTCATTGGTTTAGCCCAAAGATTCTTACGAAAGTTTCCCTCTTAATAATCATTTGCTCGTGCTTTTTTTTGGAGAAGGCCATTTTTCCAAACATATTTTTATTTTGTTATTAAGTGAAATCCTATCATCACTCTACCAAATGACCCGGGCTCATTTTCTGTTATTAGAGTCAGCATAAAATTTACCATAATAATAAAATGTTAAAAAGAAAATGCCAAATGAGTGTGTTATAAGCATTTTTCTTTTAAAACATAGTATTTTCTTCTATTCAACCAAAACATAGGTCACTCATTAGCACTCTGTCACCGTGCTGGCTCTGACTCTTGCTTTCCTCTCTGACTGTTTCTAGATGTTGTGTGGTGTGTGACTGTGTTGATGAATGGGAACTGGTATTGTATTATACCTAATGGATATGCTAACACATTGAATTCTCAAGAATATTGTTGAATACGAATTTTATAATAAATGCTTAAAATTATATGAATAACCAACAATTACTTAGGTGTTTAATGAGCACCATACTGAAAAATAATCACTGGAATAATGTGTTTGATGAATATATGCGGGTTGAAGCTTAAAGCCTGACTGTCTTTACCTTTACGGAAAAAGTATACTCTTCAAATAGTCATGCTTCATTAATCGTGCCTAATGATCCTTCTACACGAGCACGGATTTTTCATTCAATAAGTATTCAAGTATAGTGATGGTGTTATAGATCACGAAATATGATTGTACTGTTAGAAATATTACTTTCAACGTGCACCAAAATTTCCCCTTAGAGTTAGTCTTTAACTTATAGGGGAAGGGAAAGAGAAGGATTAAAGATATGAGGAATGAAGATAAACAAAATTTGGGTAGAAGATGAATACAGGAAGAACACAAGTTACAGAAAGAATTGAGGAAAAAAAACTGCATAAATTCATCATTACGGATTGCTGGTTTATATAATATGTCATACAGCTACATTGGAAACAAGACAAGTAGCAGCATAGTACTATGAACAGATATTTATAGAGGCAACAAGGTGACTGATTAGAGACATTTGGCCTCAATCTCCTCTAGTGTTAGCCCTTTGGTTTCTGGTACAATAAGGTATATGAATACAAGAGATGCAACCGCTATTGCACAAAATATGTAGAACAAAATTCCTGCTCCCAGTAATTCCTGTGAAGAAAACAAAGCTAAGAGTCAGACAGGTAATTTTGATGAAGCAATGGGTTCACTGAATAGCAAGTTTAAAATGATGTTTCCGTTACGGCTCAGTACAGTAAGGAAAAAACACAATGGGAAAACAAAATTCTATTCATTGCACATCCTAATTAACCAAATAGAAAGAGAGAAAAAGAGACAGTCATCAATACATTCAATGGAACACCGATTTAAATCAACAATTGAAACAAAAAAAATTCACATGCATATGTATGATGTGAGATCAGAATTTTGTAAAATTTGGCAATCATCTGATTGATGAGATGACACATTTAAAATATATGGTGAGTTTATGGTCTCTCGTTTAAGATCTTCATCACCTCTAGTGGGGAAAAAGCAAATGTCACAAGGGCATTTGCACCAAAATTGACAAGTACAGCTATACTAAGTCCTCGTCCTCTTAGGCGCAGGGGGAAAATCTCTGCTATCATGAGCCAACCGATTGGACCAAAGGAAATCTGAAAAAAACATAAGGAGATTCATTCAAATCAAACTATGTGGTATAAGTATGATACTGAATGTAAGCATTTATCTCGGTGAGTCTTCAGCTTACATGATCTAAATCATGATATGAAGAATGAAGACAAAAGAAACTTCACCTGATAACAGCCTACGTACAACAGCAGACCAACTACAGCAACAGCTGCTGTGTTATCCAAGAAAATGTAATACGAACCCAGAAGGAATAAAGAGATCACCTGTTATATAAAGAAACACAAGTTCTTAAATTTTGAAGAATGTTTCACAAATAAAATTTTCATGTCACAATCATTCCTCTTTTATAATTAGCGAAGCTGAAGTTGACTGTGCATGCAGAAATAATTAGCAGATTGGCCTGGGCTTCTCAATTTGACATTGAGTTTTCTTTTCTCAGGAAATTGCTACCAAAACCAACCATCAGAATCAAAGAGATAAGAAGGAACTCACCATTCCTGAAACTCCTCCAAGTAGTAAAGGCCTCCTTCCAAGTCTATCAACAACAACAACTGCAACTCCAGTCATAATCAACTAGAACAGAAACAGAAGGAAGTTGCCATGGAAAATATTAGGGTGACTGGATAGATGGTCATACGTTTGGCAAAAGAGAAGGACAATGAGAAAATACAAGATTCAGGACTAAGGAGTCACAAGTTTATTTATTTATTTTCTTTTCTCCAGCTGAAAATGTGACACGTCACACTGTATAGATGGGAAAAGGAATCCACTTTGTTCTTAAAACGAGTTGTTTATCAAGAGCTTTTGCATAGACACATTGGAACTCAAACATGTCATTTAAGCGAAATTAATTAAAAATTAAATACAGAGGGTAGTGCCAATCAAAGTCTAAAATTCTAATCCATTAAAAGTTATTAAAGAAGAATTTATTAAGAACATGGTAATAGTGCTACTATGTTTTAATACAAATTCACACATTAACTATTAAGTAAATGAAAAAATAAGATTTACCTTAAAAAAACCAAGGAGAATAGAGACCCGGGTTGCATCGGATGCTACAGAGAATCCTGCACTCTACCAAATTGGATTGGATTATAATGTTATCACAGCTCATTTGTGCCACATAATAGATTATATGAATATGCAATAATTTTCCTTGACTAAGTCTAAAATTAACATAATACCTGAAGGATCGATGCAGCATAGTAGAGCACACTTGGTTGCCCTGTGATCTGGCATAATTTGCAGCCTATGGTATAAATATACAGAAATGTTGGAAACTGATATTTTTTACTATTTTACTTGAGCAATTGCAGTACCTGTTGAAACAATACCAATCCTGCGCCAATCCAAAGGGCTTTTAAGCATTTCCCTTGGAACATTTCTCCGAAGGTAACTTCTTTTTCTTCCCCTACACAAGAAAGCTCTTCCAGAATCTCATCTACTTGCTGAGGAGCAGAATCACAAATAGCCTGACCATGAAGCTGGATCAAACTACGAATTGCTGTGTCTTTCAAATCCTGAGCATCCCCTTTCCCCTGTATAGCCCGTAAAAGTAGCCATCTAGGAGAAGCTGGGAGCCACCACATTCCAAGTCCCATGATTACTGCCACAGGACTACTAGCTGCAAACATATACCGCCAACCAGCTACAGTGTCTACCAACAAGCTACCAATTCCATATCCTGTCTGCACAAATGATATGTAGTCATTTTTTGTAATACCAGGAGATTCAGGACAGAGAGTAATTTGATAGAAGATTATTTCTGAGAAATCTATACAGTAATAGAATGAAAAATTCAAAAAGTTTATTTGGTTCCTGCATTTATAAAGCACACAAGAAAAGTTAAGGTCCACCTGGAGAGTTCAAAAACTTACAACAATCCCAAGTACTATAAAGAACTCTTTTAAAGAAATTAGTTGTCCACGTATTGGTGTTGGAGCTGTCTCTGCAATGTACATTGGAGCAGCATGCATTGCCTAAAAGAGATAAAATTAACATCATGTATCTCGCTTCAGAGTTAATAAATTACAGAGAAAATATACAGCAAATTATTTAAATATTTTCTCTGCATAGATTCTTTAACTAGCTATTCCTTTTACAGAATAACTCATTTCCCATTTTTCTCTTTTCCTCGCTTGCATGTTTCTACCATTGCAAACTTTTCTAAAGTCTTACAAACTGATATAACTGGATGTATCAATCTTAATTGAAAACACTGCTAGAGAAATTTAATAATGGAAGCCTAAAAAACTGCATAAAATGATATAGCACATAAAATCTAAGGGTTGACATCATAATTCAGTGGATTCAATAAATTGATTTACATTGTTTAGGTAGCGTTGATAAAAATCACTTTTGGATGTGTAAGTGCCAATAAAAATGGTGTTTGGTTTAAATTATAAAAAAAATTAAGGGTCATTTAGTAAAATATACTCCAATCTCCAAATGTGATTTTCTACCAGAAAAACAACAGAAGTTTCTTATCAGTTGTCAGAATACACAGAAAGTATCTCAGAATATATTGTAGGTGTCATGTCAGTTAAAACAGATGTACCATGGCATACCCACATCCCACGTCCTTCTGCCTCTAGCCCCTTGGCTAGATGCATGGGTGAAGCAGAGGCCCACTGTTCCTTGTGTTGAAACTCAGTTAAATTATAAAGAATGAAAGGAAGTATTTTAACTCTTGAACACTTGATCAAATAAATCTTAATATCAAGTCAAAAACCAAATCTTCTAAAAGCATGATCTGTTACTTAGGCGCACACCCACAGATCATTTATTGCTTTAAGACATAAGACTGAAATCCCACCATCTTCAATTGTCTACATGGTATGTACCTTGACAAATCAGAAATTAACATTACAAGCTTGGATGTACTATTTGGGTGAACGAGAGCATACCAGTCCAATTCCTATGCCAAAGACAATTCTCCCAAGCACCAAAATTGGAAAATTAGGAGCTATTGCTGTTACAATGGCTCCAACAAGATACAGTAATGCAGATGTAATCAGCTCCCTTCTTCTACCTAAAAATCAAATTTGTCACATTAATTTCACTGGGGAAGAAAATAGCAAAGATGATAACTGATTGACCTTCCAAAAGAAAAGATGATGACTGATAAAAGGGGAAATTACCTAAGAAGTCAGCAACATTGAAGGCCAATACAGAGCCAATTAAGGCACCATATAATGATCCACTAGTCTGCAAAAGACAGCAAGCATCAATGCCTCAGTATGTATTCAAGATCAGTACATAATTACAAAAATGAACAAATGTGTCAAATCATAAGAATGACCAAAAGACAATGGTAACCGTGACCAAAGAAAAAGCAAATTAATAATTTAATTTAAACTTACAAGAAGACCAATTTCAACAGAAGACAACTTGTACCAAGATATTCCACTTAGCGTTGGTGACTGCATAGAAGGGAAATTGTAAGTAAACAAGAAAACCATAAAAAATATACAACTGAATAAAGCTGCCCTGTGTACTGTTTTTTCACTTGGATAGAACCACATGGCCTTTTTTTTTTCGGGGGGGAACATAGACACTGTGAAAACCCCAACTAAAGAGATCATGTAACTGTCCTAACTATAAATTCATTCCTAGTTGAGCATCTGTGTTATGGATCTGAATTATGCAATTTATACAACTAATCACCATAGCCATATCCGATGAGTATATGGGAAGCATTGCAGATAAACTATGACAAAACTACTATACCATGAAATTATGCTTTAAACAGATGGAAAGTAACTAGTGATGATACAGCAGAAAAATCTTGGTCCTTTTTAAGTTCAGGAAATTATTACAGGTGCTGCACCACAAAATTAATATTATAAAAAAGATGAGTCAGTACCTAAATTATAGTAAAAGGGTGTATACCTGAATGGAAATGGTTGCACTAGATGTGGCACCAATATCATAGCCAAATAGAAAGCCACCCAGAGCTGGGAAGAGAAATCTGAGATTTTTAAAATGCATTTTAGGTAAGACTACAGGCAGGCTTCTTTTTCAAGTAGAAAAAGTATCACACAATCAATTCAAGACTCATTATCAGAAAATCAGTGGGGGCATAGTGAACATGAAATAATGCCATTTTTCTTATTTGAAGTGGTCATATTGTTTCATCAATGTCAAGCAGCAAGAAGATGAAGAAATCTAAAAGAAGGCCAAGATATGTTATAAAAATCAACCCTATAAACATGAGAAGCAAGCTAATTTTATGGTTTTGATACTGTATTAAGCTGTAGCAGGCTATACCTAAAAGCTCAAGGTGATATATGGTATGAGGACATCAAAAATGATTTCTAGGAAAAAAAAATACTCAAAGGCAATCTATTATTTATGTTGTCTACTCAAGATTCTGAGATAGGATCTCAAGGAATCATGAATTCCATGGGAATCAATTTTCTTTAAAATGAAGGAAACTAACACTCATTGTTTATAACCTTAGGGTCAAATTCATCATCAAGCTGCGCTCCACCTTCATCCTCACCATCACAATAATGAGTGATGAGACAACAATCTATGATGAAAAAAGAAAGAGCAATCAATTCCTTTCCCAATCCCCAGTACAACGCGATGTCTATCAGCCATTCTCTAACATTCATGATTAACACATTTTTCCACCTCACAAACATGATCAACATAACACCACTCAGTGAAAATTATGGTTCTCAACATAACACCACTTACTGTCTACAGAAATTACGGTCCTTTACCAGAGCTAGTCCAAGCTAAAAGCTGATTATTTATTTAGCTACCAATTGATTTGTATGTTTTGAAATGAAATAAAGATAGATGACAGATTTCCTAAGCATCCATCAAAATTAACGCAGAAGGGATCAGAAGTTAATACTCACGGGAGAATTGTAGCAGAGACGGAATAGCTTTCGGAGTCATGAACCCCATTAAGCAAAGGCTCCCTTGCACTCCTAATCTCACCAGATGACTTTCCTTCCTAATGAAAGTCAAAGCATTTCAAGCGTTATGAAAGTGAAAATAAACACCAAAAGATAACAGCAAACTAGTTTAATTGCTAGTAAAACAATGCATAGCTCTGAAAGTGTTAGTGTGACTGTTTCTGATTACAAGCATTCAGCTTATTCTTATTTCTATTAATTTTTACCGTAGACCGACCAAATACATAATCAAGAGCTAAATGCACATAATTCTCTTCTCTGTTTTCACTAAAAAAATTGTCGATAGGCATGAATTTGCAGCTATAAAAATGACAATTTAATTCTCTTATTTCTATTGAGGCTCTGTCATAATGCACACGCTGTAACGTAGTGCATCAATATATCCAAATTAAAGGAGCAATTCAGTATACGTTAACTTGAGTGCATGAATTCCAAAACCCCAGATCAAGCGAAGCAGTTCAAGTCGTTTTCTTTGATAAAGTTCATATTTTGAGATACCGATTGAACCCATGATTGTTTGGCAGCCAAAATTTTTGCTCTTTTTTCTCTCTGAATTTCAACAGTTTCCTTCCCTCCCAATACAGCTTTTCTCAGAAACCAAACAAAGTCTTGCACTATGCTAAAATTCAAATTCAGGGTATAGGCTGAAAAGTTCTAGCCCACACAGGAAGAAGAACGGAAAATGAAACAGAGATAGATAATATGGATAGAACCTTTGCGAGAGAGGAATGAGGGAGTTGCTCACGATCGGATGCCATTTCTTTGAAGTTTGAAACTCTGAAGGTAGAAAGAGATAGAAATAGAGGGAGTAGTTGTAGAAGAAAGAAAAGTGAACAAAATATAAATAAATAAATAAAAAGAAGAGTGAACAGAAAATAACCAAGTTTGAAAGGGGGTTAGAGATTGAGTTTGACAACGAACGAATAAAGAAATGAGTGCACGTTGAGGGGTAGAACACACGTGTCTACATAATTTCAGTAATACAACATCATGCATTTTACCTTTAGATGTCTAACTAATTCAACCTCAACATACGAAGGAAGAAAACAGTTATACACACCGAATGATGACAGTGCAATCCTATTTTTTAAGGTTAGTTTTTCTTGGACATGTTTCTCGACATACTAATTTACTAAAGTTTAAAGGGAATTATATTTTAGTTTTCATTCTTTTTTCTAGATGTATATATGCATTTGAAAGTCTAAATTTTATTCTTAAGGAAACTAATTAAAAATCATGAACAAAATTAAAATTGTTGTAAAAGTGTTTTTGAATTTAAAAATTACTATATATTTTTTTTCCATTTATCATTTTCCCCCCTTTTTCATCCATTCTTGTCTTCAGTGTACATGGATGAATATGAGCTTTACATGTGGGTTGATATGCAGAACTCCTTTTTCATCCATTCATGTCTTCATTTTCCCCCCTTTTCCCTTCATTCTCTGATAGTGTGAGAAAATATAGTAGGGTTTATAAAAAATGTTGGAGTGCAAATTATAGAATATTTTCTTATAGAAGAAGAAATTGTTTTGGCATTGTAAAAACAACACGAAACTGGCATGGCTGTCTACCCTGTGCTTCACTTGTTTGCTGGTCCTGGTTGTCACTATCTTTCTATCTACTTCTTTATTTTTCACTGTAGTCCATTATTTATATGCGGTTTCGGAGCTGGCAACGTTCATCCAGTCATCTGGAAAGTTGAAACCTAATAAACTTTTGTTCATTTAATGTTTATAGTTGATAATTTGTATCCACGTGAACATGTTAAAATCAATTTTAGGGATAATTTTAAATACTTAAAATTACTCATTCTTTATTAATAATATAATAACTACTAGTATTTTCAATGATCTTCATACATATAAACAATATTATAATCATGTAAAATAAAAGAATAATTAAAATAATTTCATTCTAATTGACAAGTAATTTAGATTTAGTCTAATTAATGATGTGACAGATGATGAATTTTAGAATCTCTAATCAAACTTTGTATAAAATAATTAATTTAAATACGTGTATGATATATTCAACATCAAGCATACTTCATATACAAAAATAGTAATTTGAGATTTTTTCTTTCTTCTTCTAGATTACAAGTATAATATCATGGTTTGAATTTTCATTTTAAATATGTTGTGCGGATTATATTAATTAATTATTTTATCTTCACACACATGCTTCAGCAATCGATTCTCTAAGATAACTCAACATAGAAAGTAATATTTTTTATGTCATTATTTTTTATTTTCTACTTTTCATGTCAATTTTTTGAGATAATTGATGTAGAAAGTATTTTTAAAATAAACAAACTTGCATTCAGAGAACTCGATATAGAAAATAACATTTTTTATGTCTTTTCTATTTTTTGTCTTCTCTCAACCACGTTTCATCTTCTTTGATAGTTATGAGTGAAAACTGATCTACAACAAATTATTCATAGTAATTCTAATGGTTGATGACTAGAGACAGAACAAAAATGATGCAACAAATTAGAGTGTGATACAAAGTAACATTTTTTCTTCAATTTCCGTATTCTCCAGCGACGTTTCATCTTTTTAACAGTGCAGAATTAATAACACTAGATATCGTGCAAATATATAAAGAGAACAATTTACTTTTGTACTTTTTATGATAAATAACAAACACATGTTATTTATCTAATTTTTTTTCTTTTTTTAATTAAATCATATCGACTTACTATAAAATATAATTAACAGTCTTAATTGACTTACAATTTACTTATTCAACAACTTTACTTTTATAATTCTATTACATTTAGTAGAAAAAAAATACCATAAACTCAACTGGTTAGCGCAATTGACATGGTTGAATTTATGATCTTCTATACGTAAACTGCTCTAATTGTTTTAAAATTTAAAATTGCTTACTTGTAGGATTTGCGTCAACTTTAAGATATGCTTACGATTCCCTAGGCATCTCATATATGCTATTTTGATTGATACAGTGATTTGAAAGTTATATAGCATCTCATATGTTATCATTGGTCATGGTTAGATAGCCATATAAGAGTTATCAAACTGAGACATTTTTTTTTGCTGCGGTGCGGCTATTCACATTGCAATATAAAAGTCTTTTTTTTATTATAAATTTTTTTACACATAAAATTACACAAGTTGATGAGGTTTACCCTAAACCTTTTGAATTTCAGACCTAACTAGAGCTATGATGTAACTCAAGCTATAGACCTCAAAATGGAGTGTTTCAAAAACGACAAGAAAGTTCATGTCGTGAACTATGATTTTGGCTCAAGAATCACTTAATTTGGAGTTGTAAATCATGAGATATAAATTAAAGTTATTTTGGGTACAAATTGGGGTTTGTTTGGAAGAAAGTGCTATGAACCCCTAAAATTCAGAATTAGGAACAATTGAAATCATACCTTCTAAAATAAAAGAAAAAAGGAAGAAAATATGATGGAGAGGGCGCCACAAACAATGATATTTGATAAGCCAATGAGATAGACACAAGAATGGATGAATTCTTGATAAGATCGAAGATTGCAAGGAAGAACTCTAGCAAAGCACAATACTCACTTTAATTTGATTTCAATCTGAATTCTCCTTTTTCCATTCAATCTAAGTGTTTTTAGTACAATGCAAATTAAGAGTTTGGTTAACTAAAATCAAACAAGAGAAAAAGAAAAGCACATTTAGTACAAGTAAATTAAGATAGCCTAGTAGTAATTAGGTAACACTTAGCTACAAGTACCTAGGTAATAAATCAAGAGATGTTAAAGGATTAAAACCATATACTACCTCAAAAGGAGAATAATTAATAATAATATGAACAACCCTATTATATGCAAATTCTACATGATGCAAACACTCCTCCCAAGATTTAATATTTTTCTTTATAATAGCTCTAAGTAAAGTAGAAAGAGTCCTATTTACTACTTTAGTTTGTCCATCAGTTTGTGGGTGGCAAGTAGTGAAAAATAAGAGTTTAGTGCCCAACTTACCCCACAATGTTCTCCAAAAGTGACTTAGAAATTTGGTATCCCTGTCACTCACTATGCTCCTAGGCAACCCATGAAGTCTCATCACTTCTTTGAAAAATAGGTCATCAACATGACATGCATTATCACCTTCTTGCAAGCTATGAAATGTGCCATTTTAGAGAACCTGTCCACAACCACAAAAATATAGTCTTTCCCTCCTTTGGACCAAGGCAAACCTAGCACAAAATCCATAGAAATATCAATCCAAGGATGTTCAAGAATAGGTAAAGCAGTATACAAACTATACGGCATGACTTTAGACTTAGCTTTCTTACACATAATGCACCTCTCACATAGTTTATGCACATCACGTTTCATATGAGGCTAATGAAAATGTTCATGCAATATCTCTAAGGTCTTTTGAACCCCGAAATGCCCCATTAGTCTCCTTCATGTGCCTCTTGAACTAATACATTTCTTATTGAACATTAAGGTATACAAAGTCTCATATCCTTAAACAAATAACCATCATGTTTAAAATAACTATCATGTGCAGTATGTGAACATGTCTTAAAAATATGAGAAAAATCAACATCATGTTTATACAATTCCTTAATGTGCTCAAATCCTAAAAATTTAGTCTCAAGGGTAGAAAGAAGTACATACTTGCGTGACAAAGCATCAGCCACAATATTGGACTTACCCTCCTTATGTTTGATCACATAAGGAAATTGCTCTAGAAATTCCACCCATTTGTCATGTCTTTTGTTTAACTTACCTTGCCCCTTTAGGTACTTTAAAGATTCATGATCACTATGTATCACAAATTCTTTAGGCAAAAGGTAATGTTGCCAAGTCTGCAAGGCTCTTATTAAAGCATATAATTCATTATCATAAGTAGGGTAATTCAAAACAGCTCCATTCAGTTTTCACTAAAATAAGCTATTGGATGTCCTCCTTGCATTAACACGGCTCTTATCCCTACCCAGATGCATCACACTCTATTTCAAAATATTTAGAAAAATCATGTAATGCAAGAATAAGTGCATGAGTTAATTTTTCCTTAAGAACAGTAAATGCCTTCTCTTGCTTCTCTCCCCAACTAAACCCTACATGCTTTGTAACTATCTCATTCAAGGGTGCAGCTAAGGTATTGAAATCTTTCATAAATCTCCTATAAAAACTTGCCAAACCATGAAAAATTCTTACCTCATTAATGTTCTTAAGAGTTGGCCACTCTTGAATGGCCTTCACCTTCTGTTGGTCAACTTGTACACCTTGAGAACTAATAACAAAACTAAGGAAAATAACATGATCTGTACATAAAACACATTTTTTCGTATTTGCATATAGTCTCTCTCCTAAGTGTCTCTAAAACACTCTTCAAATGTACAAGATGATCAAAATAAGTTCTACTATAAATCAAAATATCATCAAAATACATAACTACACACTTTTCTAGAGACTCTCTGAACACATGGTTCATTAATCTCATGAAAGTACTAGGAGCATTTGTCAAGGCAAATGGCATGACCAACCATTCATAAAACTCATACTTGGTTTTGAATGCAGTTTTCCATTCATCCCCTTCCTGGATTCTTATTTGATGGTACCCACTCTTAAGATTTTAGAAAATATACAAGCATCATGCAATTCATCCAACAAATCATCTAGTCTAGGGATGTAATGTCTATATTTTACCGTGATATTATTAATGGCTCTACAATTGGTGCACATCCTCCATGTTCCATCTTTCTTTGGCACAAGTAAAACTGACACTGCATATGGGCTTAAGCTCTCTTCAACCCATCATTTTTGCATTAACTCTTCAACTTGCTTTTGAATCTCCTGGGTATCTTGAGGATTACTTCTGTATGCTGGTATATTGGGTAAAGAAGCTCGTGGAATGAGGTCAATCTAGTGCTCTATCCCTCTCAAAGGTGATAAACCATGAGGCACCTCTTTAGAGAATACATCTACAAATTCTTGCACCAAAGAAGAAACTTTCATGGAAGTGGGTTAGTAGCATCTATTATGGAAAAGTTGTTTTCTTTACTTAAAAGTAAAAGCATTGACTTTTTCATTAACATAGCCTTTTTCACCCCTTTTTCTCTTACAAACACATTTTGCACTTTCTCCTCTCTTTTCTCACTCTCTTTCTCCTTTATTTTTGAACTTTTTCTCTCTTTTTCTTTTTCTTTTCTCTCTTGAGTTCTTTTCTTTCTCATAATAATTTGATCTTCCCTTACCTCCCTGGGTGATAAAGAAGCCAAAGTCACCTTTCTATTCTTGAACTCAAATGAGTATTTATTGATTTTCCCATCATGGTGTGTTTCTCTATCATATTGCCAAGGCCTACCAAGAAGCACATGGTTTGCTTCCATGAGTACAACATCACACAACACCTTATCTGTATACTTCCCAATTGTGAATTCTATTTCAACTTGCTTATCCATTTTTAGCTCTCCCTCTTCACTCAACCACTGCAACTTATAAGGCTTAGGGTGGGATGTGGTTTTCAAATTCATCTTGGTGACCAGCCTAGTACTAACCACATTAGTGCAACTTCCCCCATCTATGATCAATGAACATACTTTTCCTTGAATTTTACATCTAGTGTGAAAAATATTCTTTCTTTGACTCTCCTCATTTTCCTTTGCAACTCCCCCAAGCATTCTCCTAATTATGAGAAGGTCTCCCTCAGTTACTTCTTCATTCTCTCTTTCACTCACTTCCTCACTAGAGTATTCAGATTGTGATGATTCACTTACTATTTCACCACTCTCTTTTAGGACCATGACTTTTTTTGTAGGGTAATCAGAAGCTATATGTTCTCTTCCTAAATACTTGAAACACTTGATATCCTTTGTCCTAGTTTTATTCACAACCTTTTTTCCTTCGTATCTAAATATTGCAAACTTGTGTTAGAAAACAATAAAATTATCAATTCTATTTTAAAAGAGTTTAATCTGAATATTGATTAAGATGAGGACTTTTTTGATTTAGGTGATACGAATATTTGTGTTGAAATTATGATTTTTTTAGAAGATTATGAGAATTGGTGTATTTTTTTTTTTAAATACCATAATAGTGAAACTTTTAGGAAAAAAAATATTAGCCTAAAGTATTTGGATAACAAATTAAAACATATATGGAGTAAAAATGGAGACTTGAAGGTCTTACATTTGAATGAAGAATTTTATTAAGTCAAATTTGATTATATAGATTATTATAAGAATGATATATTTGAGAAACCTTAGTTTTAGATCATTACTTGTTAGTACAACATTGGAGACCTTTGCTTAAACTTAATGACCATTCTTTTAGGAAGTTACAATTTGGGTTAAAGTCTTTAATCTTTCCTTAGAGTTATATGATAATAAATTTCTTTGAAAAGTTTGATCTTGTTTAAGTACAATATTAAAGATTGATAATAATATTATTATCCTATCAAAAGGTAAATTTGTTAAGATTTATGTAGAACTAAATTTTAGAAGATTAGTTCCTCCCTTTAAGGTATTTAGTCAAGAATTTAAAATAAAACATGATGATCTTCACCTTATTTATTTTTGTTGTGGAAAATATTGTCATAGACAAAAAAAAAATGTGCTAAAAAGATAGGTGATGATAAGAATATTAATAGGTCTGATTCTTTAAAAAACCAAAAAAAAATTTTAAAGAATAGAGATAAAGATAATTTGAAAATAGTTTAATGATAACTAAAAGTCATAATAGTTCAAATAGGATAAATATAAATGAATAAGAGACTTTTAGTTTTTAGATGTTAGTTAAAAAATCTCAAAGAAAAAAAATAACTCAAAATAGAAATTAAAAAAATTAATCAATTAAGTAAATATAAAAAAATTAGTGTCACATCTAAATTTAAGATTTTGAGTCAAAATTCTATTGAAATAACCTATACATCATAATAGTTAAGGACAATATGGAAATACTAAAATTAAATATCCTAAAATTTTTTTTTAATAAAAATAATGATGTGACTCATTTAACTCAGTGAAAGAAATAGTCTTAATAAACAACATGTAATAATAAAAGGTATAAATAAAATTTTTTGCATATAAAAATATTAAATTACTTTAAGTAAATAATTTTAAAATATTTACCTTTTGGTAATATTTATAACAAAAATAATAATTTTTCTTACTAATAAGTTTATTTAATTTTCCTCCTTAATTAATTTGATTACAGAAAATAATATAAATAAATTTAATACATAAATTCAACAGTTTTATATTTAATTATGAAATATAAATTTATTATTTATAAACTATTTATATAAAATGTGTTTCAATATTTATATTTCAAGTACCCGTATAATCTCGCGAGTAATAATTATGTAGGCGTCAATATTCGAACTAAGATTAATCACTCATTAAAGGGACGACGCTAGTATGGAAGGGCAAAAATACTTGCTTGACCAATGGGTTTTCATTTTAGCAAATGTTTATTGATGCTCTAAATATGCTTAATCAAGAAAACAAAGTAAAAAAAAAATCTGTTAACATGTAATTTTCATACCAAAATCATAAAATTTAGTAACATATATTTTAAAACAATTTAGAATATTCTATAAATTACATTAAATCTTCATTAAACAATACACTTCGATCACTAATTAATGAAGACTTCTTCATTTTTTATGCTTACTGTTGGTGGCTAAATTTCCATTCACACGAATCCGACGTGGCAAAATATGGTTGGATACTCATACATCATATTTTTAGTTTTTCTAAATTGACAGTCATTTTAATATGTTTTAATATTAACTTAAAAAAAATGGAAATCCACGAAGACGGAACATCGAACCGGAACGTTGTTTCTCCGTTCCATTCCGACTGAGATTGTGAGACCCTTCAACTCCAAAATTGGTACTCCATTATATCTCCGTGCAAAGCTTTGATTTTTGTTTTCAATTTTTCATTTTCTCTAACGCCCTGGATTGGTTGCATTTTCACCTCATTATTAGTTAGGTTTGAGTTTCTGTTAAATTAGACCATAACACAATCATATGATATCTTCTTTTGCTAACTCAAATTTCAATTTCTACATTACAAAATCGTTCATTTTCTTCTTGCTTCCCCTTTTCTCGGTGATGTCTAATCCAATTATCGAATTCGTAATTTGGATTTTTTTTCTGCTCGATTATAATTTGTATTTTATGCATGATGTTGTGTGTGTGTGTGTGTGAGAGAGAGAGAGAGAGAGAGAGAGAGCGCATGCTGATTCAATGATTAATGTATTCTTTGTAGGGCAAAATGGTGAGGCTTCAGACATATGCGGGTCTTAGTTTGATTGCAACTCTGGCTATTACATATCATGCATTTAACAGTAGAGTCCAATTTTATCCGGCAATGATTTATCTGGCAACTTCCAAGATCAGTTTGGTACTTCTTCTCAACATGGGTTTGGTCATCATGTGTGTTATGTGGCAGATAACTAAAAAGGTGTTCCTTGGTTCCCTTCGAGAGGCTGAGGTTGAGAGGCTTAATGAGCAATCGTGGAGGGAGCTTATGGAAATCCTCTTTGCAATTACTATCTTTAGACAGGATTTCTCTATTACATTCCTTGCCATGGTCACTGCACTCTTGTTAATTAAGGCTTTGCATTGGTTGGCTCAGAAGAGAGTTGAGTACATCGAGACTACTCCTTCTGTGTCCATGTTGTCTCAGGTTCGAATCGTATCTTTCATCGGTTTCCTTCTTCTTCTGGATGGCCTCTTTGTGTATAGTTCTGCGAAGCATTTGATACAATCACGGCAGGCTTCGGTTTCGCTCTTCTTTTCTTTTGAGTAAGTCCTCTTTCTATTGTTTTCTTCAATGATTTGTGACATGGTTAATTAATGTAAATTGAAAATGTAACTATGAAAAGTTCTGTAGCACAACTATTGATTGGATAAGAATACTTTACTTTTTACTTTGTTATGCAAAAAGCAAGAGTAGTTCAAGTTAATGTATGGAAAATCCTATTATATTTGAAATTACACTGAAATTTTAAACTGTTTCACATAGGATGTAGACTGTATAGAGATGCAGTAGATGCAGTTGTCATCCAATTGTCATATTTATCAAATTCATTTTGTTATGAATTTTTTTATCATAGAATCAAATGCTGTAAGGACTTGGATCTCTTTTGACATAATCTCTGTTTTGATCTCAGGTACATGATACTGGCAACAACAACAGTGTCAATTTTTGTAAAATATATCTTTTATGTTAGTGACATGCTTATGGAGGGACAATGGGAAAGGAAACCAATCTTCACGTTTTACCTGGAACTTATTAGGGATTTGCTTCACTTGTCAATGTATCTGTGCTTCTTTATTGTAATTTTCATGTAAGTGATCTGTTATGTGTGATAGCTTTCTTGCATTGATTAAACTGCATTGCAAGCAGCATGTGCACCAAAAAATTCATAGTATATGTTGCTGTCATTAACACTTACTTATTTAGGCATTGGATTGAATGTACAATGGAATGTGTAATCATCCAACTGTGTGTGTGTGTGTGTGTAGGAGTGGGGGGTAGGGGGTGCACTTTAGAGGATAAACAATTGAATTTTTAAAAATTTCATAGTTTGTTATATATGTGCATGTATTTTGTCACAATCTCAACCATTGATTTTTTTAATCAATGGCAATAACTACACTTTGTCCTCCAAAGTTCGCCCCCTTACGTTAGAGGAGAAAATCTTTTGCAGTAGCACCTCAAAGTATAGTTATAGTGTGGTCAGTTCTGTTGTGGCTTATAATATAGTTGGCTGAATATGATATCAGTCAAACATTTGGTATATTGGACTTGGTACTTGGTTTTTGTACTACTGCTTTAACCTAAAGATAAGATTACATGGTTAACCTTCACTAGTTTTGTTTATTGCCTAATAACTTGAAGTTGATTTATCAGAAACTATGGAGTTCCTTTGCACTTAATAAGGGAGCTGTACGAGACATTTAGAAACTTCAAAGTTCGTGTTGCAGATTACATACGTTATCGCAAGATTACTTCAAATATGAATGATCGGTTTCCAGATGCAACCCCTGAAGAGCTTAATGTGTGAGTTCTAAATGTGGTACCGCATCTATGCTTATTGTTTTCATATTTATGCACAAAATAATATTTTTGTAAATGGCTTTGCAGAAGTGATGCAACCTGCATTATCTGTCGCGAAGAGATGATCACCGCCAAGAAACTTGTGTGCGGGCACCTTTTTCATGTTCATTGCCTTCGATCATGGCTGGAGCGGCAGCATACTTGCCCTACCTGCAGAGCACTGGTTGTACCACCAGAAAATGGGACAACTGCTGCTGGAAGGCGGCAAGGATCACAGTCAGATGCTCACCAATATGGTAATCATATGATAAACAAAAATTACTGAGGAACAGCATTCATAGATATCAGAAGCATGTCGGCGATGTGCAAAATGTCAGAATTGAAATTATATTATTGCCAGGGATACTGCACTTTTGGTATGAAAAACAGAGTTAAATGTATGATCCTGACAAATTATTGCTCAGAAAAACCTTTAATTCTTTGTTCTACACTTGCAGAAATTTCTCACTCAGTTTCATGTTATATTTTCATTTCAGGTTCATAAAAATACTTCTATATGTAACTGCATATATTACTTAACTTTTCAGACCTTGTTTTCTTTTAATGTTAGGTTGGGTCATTATGTTGCTCGCGGAGTCAGCACAATTATACTGTTTAAAGTATTTTAATAGGGGATACCTATAAGCATTATATGAGGCTTTGCATTTTGTATTCAATGTGATATTTGAAGTTGTTTATTATAACCTGGAATATCCTTTAGTGGAAATAGAGGCTACTTGGTTATTCTTGTGGGTGTATTTTAACTTAGAAATGGAACTCGAATAGGCACTGGAAGCGCAGCTCAAGCTGAGATTGGCAATGGGGTGGCTACTGATAATTTGAGTCGGCATCAAGCAAGGCTCCAAGCTGCTGCTGCAGCAGCAGCTTCAATATATGAGAAATCTTATGTTTACCCCTCTGCAACTTCTTTTGTATGGTATACATTCCCTCCTTGGACAATATCCTTCTTTTTCTGCAGTTGCTTAAGAAATCAACTATGCATCTTTATCATCTTCTGAAAAGGTAAAAAGTGAGTTAAAAATGGAGTTTGTTGAATTTGAAATAGGATAGTAAAGTTATAGTATGATTGTACAATGAAAGTATGATTATTTTTCAAACTCTTATATGAATAAAGTAGTGCCATTTTCGCTTTACTCTAAACAAATATGAAAAGCTATAGATGCTTTATCTTTACAATCTAATTCCTGCTCAGGGAGGTGCCTTTCTTTGCCCAAAAATGAAGAACAGGGTGCTCTTTGATGCATTTTAAGTGAAAGAAAACGGAAAGTGAAAGAGGGGGAAAATAAAAAGATGGAGCAGTTCCATTTAGAATGATTGGTGAATTTTAAAACATGAATTAAGTTATAGGGTATGTTTCTCTGTAGGGAAATGTTTGGTTTCATTTAATTCTTGTTTCCAAAATTATGATGTTTTCATTCCGCTTCAAATCTGAAATCACAAGAAACTGGCTCTACCTTTGTCCTTTTGTTACATAATGAATTAATGAAATGATCCAAAAGTTGTGTACTTTTGTAAAGATGATACGGATGCTATTCCTTGAATCTAAAACTCTAATTTCTCAAACTCGCAGGTCCCCTGGATACACTCTCTATCCTCCAGTTCAAAGATCTTTGGCCGAATCATCTGGTAATGAGCTCAATGGAGAACAAGCTTCCATTGAGCAAGCACAAAAGCAGTTTGTTATCCCTGATGGACCACTGAGTGCATCCATTCCTCCAATGGGGAACTTTAATTTTCTACCTTCCCAAACACATGTAGCCCACATGAATTATGGAGAGGGATTTATAAATGATCCAAATATGCCAAACTCTCAGCAGGAAGCTCAAAGAAAACTCCAGATTGAGGTACAATACCTTTTTTTCTCCCATTAATTGCAACTTGCTTATCATTCCTTCTCCAACTGCAATAAATGGTCATCTTGGTGCACTTCTACTAGCATGTAAACAAGGTCACATCTGATGAATATATGGTGACCACAAAAATTGATATTCACTTCTCACTGTCTCTGTTTTCAAAGCTGGCATCTTATTAAGGGACATTAACTGATTATTATTAGAACTAATTTTTTACTAGGTTTTTCTAAGTATGTGTCATGTCCGATGAATGCTTACAGTTGCTCTTTAGACTTTTAGGATATTTAAGTCTGGTATTATACACTTTACAGTACTATTGATGTCCATGTTTATAAGAAGTTGATGTATCCACTTACTTTAGACATTGGTGAAGCCTAGATCTACTCCATGTTATTACCATTGTTTGTCCTCTGCCAAAATTTTAAACATTTTGCATATAATCAGTGTGTTCCACAAATAGTCTGTTTCTCCACATAATTAAGTTGTTTGATACAGAGGGCACTGCATGATCTTTGAATGAAGATGAAATTAATCCAAATGCCATAGTAACTCATCATTGATGATGTTTCCCCTTAACTTTTAAACAGCTTTTGCAAAATCAGGTTCAGATTCTGCAAAATCAGCTCCAACTTCTGGAGAAGGCAAATGTTGAAAAAGATATAGATGAAGACACATCATTATCAGATAGCAGAGGCAAGCACATCACTGCCCCTTCATCATCTAGTCATGAGGAGATTCAAGACACTGAAGCATAATCATGACTTGGCTTATTTCTGGCTATACCATGAGGAGACTACCTAATGTAGATATAGGGAGAAGGTTAATGCAAAAATCACAGCATTGCTTATTTGCTTCCATGTGACATTAATTTGAATGCTGTATTTTGTTCAAGGATATTAATCTTGGGAATGCATTTTGCCTTTAATAATTTATTTTTCCCTTTTTTAGAAAATAAAATAATCAATGAAAATTTCATTGGTTTTTATTAGCTTATGAGAATTTATACCCATATTGGTACTCTGCAAATAGGTTAGGATTGGCTTAGCAATTAGTAGTTCAATATTTATTCAGTGTGTCTGCTTGTTTGAAATTTTAGGAGTCCAAAATTGAGATGTCTATATCTATTTGCATAACTTGTTATAATGATTGGTAGTGAAATTTTTGGGCGTTTTTCCCCCTCACGTTGTGGACCTGCTTTCTGCTGTAAATATGTTACTTTTCTTCCAGTAATTTATTTTGAAGTTATAATTCGTATTGAAAAGAAAAGAAGGAATAATAACATTATACTATTATAATGAATGCTGGTTTACTTGTTTTGGATCAAAGCAAATACGTAAGGTATCCCAAGTCTTCTACAATTGGATCGAAATTGTCCAAAGGGTCAAGTTGAAAACTACCTTACTACGATACAGTTTGGCTATATATAGTTGGCTTAAAAGCACTTCTAATCTTTATAAACTAAGCAAATTTTGTGACAAGTCTTTATAATTGTTTTTTTATTAGGATTAAGTCTTTGAAACAATAAATTAAAATTTAGTCTCTACACTTAATTTCTTTTTTATGACTAACGTAGAATATTTTTACATCACTCTTACATTATTATGTTATTTAATTTTATAATATTTTATTATTTAAAATAAATATTTATAATATCTTTGCATATATTTTAAATATTTACAAAAAAGTTTTTTTTTTAACTTTCCTTTTCTCTTCTTTTGGAAACTACCTAATTCTTACCGTAGTCTGTTCTACTTCAACTCTTCTTACTCTCCACAGGTTTCACCAAGCAAGAGAATGTGTCTCGCTTAAAATGGAGAACTCCAATACTCTTCTTCACTTGCAAATTCAGATCCATGTGCTCTATCATTGCTTGCAAACTCTATTATTAACAAATACATTCATCTTTAACCTCACCATCTTAGAACCCCATTTTCTCCATCTTTTTCACAAACCCTTTGATAGCATCCATACTCCTCACAACAATGTGCAAGATGCTTGTAAGACCTCAAACTCAAGCTCCTACCAAGCTTTCACATTTCGTCAAATATGTGAAGTGCGTTTTTGTATACTTTGTGGATTGGACAAATCCTGGTTTAGGGTAAGGGAGCACATGAATCATGAGGGTTAAAAAAGTAAGTTGCACGATGTATTTGGACTAGGAAGCAAGCAAAGGTGATTACCACTTTAATGGATTGGAACATACTACAATCCCAGAGGTGGAGAGCCGATATCGAGGTGCCAAACCTTTTCATTGAGACCTCACTGGTGAAGTAAATCATGACATCTACAAACCAACCAATTAGGAGAGAATTAATAGATTCCTCTTGGGGAGTCATTCATCCTTCCTAAACACAGCACAATATATTTGGACTAGGAAGCAAGCAAAGGCGATTACTCAAGTGCCAAAATTTTCATTTGGTTCATAAGTGCCAACAACTCTTATCAAATAAATTCAAATCTCATTAAACAACCAACCTATAATACCACAGTTTCCCAAAACATTGCAACATACACATTCAAGCTCATGAAAAAAAATTTCACTCTCCAACCACAAATATATATTGTCAATGTGCGCCCAATACAAAACAAGTAACAAAATCCACACCAAGTGAAAGAAACCATCGCTAATCCCTCTCAAGGACCCATGAAGAACCAAATCCAAACACATCCTCCAAGTCTAGATTCCAAAATTGCAAATTTGACAACTACGACATGCAAATCTTCCATAATTGCGAAAAGAAAAAGAAGCAAAACCTAAATAAAGTATTGAAACTATATTACAAAGTCCAATTTGCACAACATCTATGGGTTCATATTAAAAACGAAAAAACAGAGAAAATTGAGAAACAGAGAAGAAGTGTTGTAAGTTAATTTTAATTAGTTGTTGTTACAGTTTCTTATTTCCTATTATTAAGGTTTATAAATAGAAGTTCATTTGTTAGTTACTTTCGTCAATTAGTCTCCATGTTTTAAGCCATGTAAGTCGTGAGTTAACTACTGCTTTATTTTTTATATATACTATTTGTAAGGCTACGACGTCAACTTACACAAATAGTTCAGTTTTATCAATAATACGTTCTCTCTCAATTTTGCAACAATGTTCTACTTTAACAATTGGTATCAAAGCTAGGTTATTAGGGCTTAATCCTGAGTGTTTGTGAGGAAAACAGTGAGTGTGATTCAAGAAAGAAACTACAGTTTTCTTTCAGGTAAAAAAGTTGAGAAGAATGGTAGAAGGTGGTGGTAGTAGTTTTGTGCAACCTATTATTCCAAGGTTTGATGGTCATTATGATCATTGGGCAATGTTGATGGAGAATTTTCTTTGCTCCAAAGAATACTGGGATCTTGTTGAGAAGGGAACATTGGTTATGGCAGATGAAGTAGAACCTACTGAGGCACAATAAAAATTGATTGAGAAACGAAAGTTGAAGGACTTAAAGGTAAAGAATTACCTTTTCCAAGCAATAAATCGAGAAATTCTTGGGACAATTCTTAAGAGGAACACAACAAGAAATATATGGGACTCAATAAAGCAAAAATTTGAGGGTTCAACCAAGGTCAAAAGAGCACTATTGCAAGCATTATGCAAAGATTTTGAGATCCTTCACATAAAGGAAGGAGAGACAGTGAATGCATATTTTTCTCGTACACTAACTATAGCCAACAAAATGAAAGTTTATGGCAAAAGTATAAGTGAATCAAGCATTACTGCAAAGATTTTGAGATCAATGGTTTCAAAATTTGATTATGTGGTATGTTCAACTAAGAATCTAAAAACTTAGATATGATGAGTATTGATGAGCTTCAAAGTAGCCTTTTTATTCATAAGCAAAGGATGAGAAGTCGTGGAGAAGAAGAGCAAATTATGAAGATCTCTCACAAAGACAAAGCAAGTAGAGGTCAAGGTTAAGGTAGTACTATCAATGTATATAGAGGAGGATAAGGCAGAGAAAGGGAAAGACAATTCTTCAATAAAGCTTTTATCGAGTGTTTCAAATGTCACAAATTAAGATACTTTCAATACGAATGTCCTGATTGGGAGAAAAAGGCCAATTATACTAAATTGGCAATGGAAGATGATAAAGAGTTGTTATTAATGTCTTACATAGAACTCAAGCAAGCCAAGATGGAAGAGGTGTGGTTTCTTGATTCAAGTTGTAGCAATCATATAACTAAAAACAAAGAGTGATTCTCAGAGTTTGATGAAAGCTTTAGCCTAACTGTAAAACTTGACAATAAATCCAGAATGGTTGTTGTTAGGAAAGGCAGCATTCGTATGCAAGTAAATGGATTTACACAAGTGATTTTTGGCTTTTACTATGTTGCTGAACTTAAGAATAATCTATTAAGCACAGGGCAGCTTCAAGAAATGGGCTTGGCTATTTTGATTCAGCATGGGAAGTGTAGTGTATATCATCCTGATAAAGGATTAATCATGTAGATTGATATGAGTGAAAATAGAATGTTTTCTTTGTTGGCTACCATGATACCTAAAGCTCCTTCATGATTTCAAACCATATCAGAAAATTAATCTCATCTTTGGCAATGTTGATTTGGTCACTTAAGCTACAACGGATTGAGGACACTTTTTAATAAGAAGATGGTCGCCTTCACTCAAGATTCCAGAGAAGTTATTCATAGTGTTTAACTGGAAAACAACACAGAAATGCTATATCTAAGAAGAGTTTGTGGAGAGCATCAAACAAGTTACAAAGTGTGCATGCAGATATATGTGGGCCTATTAAACCAGAATCAAACAACAACAAAAGGTACATCCTAAGTTTTATTGATGATTTCACTTGTAAAACTTAGATTCACTTCTTACATAAAAAATCAGAGGCTTTTGCCATGTTTAGAAAATTTAAAGCTTGTGTTGAAAAGGAAAGTGGTGCATATATTGCTTCTTTAAGGACAAATAGAGGTGGTGAATTTATCTCAAATTGTAACACATTAATTTTAATTTCAGTTAAATAATAATTTCACAAATCGGATAGCCAAATTTTCATAAAAGATTTCAAAATAAGTGAAGGGTTAGTCTTATAGAAGTTCATCCGTCCCTTCACTGAGTCTGATGCTGATCGTCTTGATTATCTGAAAAATGAATGTAAGGGTGAGTACTCTACACTACCCAAAAACACATAATCAACGTAGAGTCTCACCTCTAGAACATTTCTAACACATTAAACAAACACAATTACAAGCAGCATTTCACATCCATAAGCACAATTCATAAACTCATGCATATGCACACCAGTCACACTCACTGTGGCATTGTGATTACAGATTTATACCATGAATAGTCGCCGGTTACCCCCGCCTCACGGATACCATGTGGGCAGTCACAAGTCGCTCAACAAAGGTAATGGTCAGAGGTCTAGTCAGGAAGAGAAAGTGTGGTCCGTGGTGCACCCGTTCCATAGTCGGTGTCACCACCACTCCCCCTTCCCCAAGGTATTTCTACCGTCCTCATCTCCCACACTTCCAGTGTATCGCTGAACCATTCACAACACATTACAACGGCCCTAACACGCTCATTCACACATATTTCATTCACGCATGCAGTAATCATGCTTACATACGGCACACAGCCTACAATTATCGTTTATATTACACGGCCCTTAGGCCCACATTTTCAAAATATTCATTCAAATATACAGCACAAGTGCCCATACCCATTCACAACACTCGGCATACATGCCCTCAGTCTATCACACAACATTTACATACAATTCACATCCATCAAGTTTGGGTCAACACACATAATGTTCACATATCATGGCACATGGTCCACATTATCTTTCTCAGCAATTCCCTACCCACTAACTAAGCCACAATACAATATTCAGCAAAATAACAATAATTTATGCACAAAAGAGTAGGATAGAGTCTCCCCTTACCTCGAATTGAAGACCCATAATCAGATTTGACCACGGACGTGCTCTCTACACAAATTTCGGCCTAAAACACATGGAAGAACTCCATGAGAACTCCAAGAAACTGAGAAATAGAGAAATGGGGATGAGAAACGGAACCTAGCCATTAAAACTCACCTCCAAGTGTTCGCCACATGGATTCAACCCAATTAATCGGTGCAATAGGGCTTTGGAAATGAGAGGATCAAAAGAATTTCAAAG